TCTTTGGATCTGAAACCGGTAGCTATAAGTACCTATTGCATTGTTTATAAAACTATTCGATCAATAACTAATATGGGAAAATTAAAAACGATTGTTTCAAAAAAAAAAAAAAAAAAAAAACAACCGTATTCTACACGTTATCACGTTGACAGAATACTTTTTTTGATGAACAATATTTTCACCCGCAAGAGCGTGCACTGTTTGGGTTTGAATTGTCTACGGGCAAAACTGCGTTTCACCGTAGCGTCCACCATTTAGGCGCCTCGCCGTATTATTTTTATAAATAGGTTAGGAACCGTATTGCGCTTGTACCTATCAATATTTTACCACTTTGGGCTTTAATCCAACTGTCAACATTCAATATTTAATACGTTCGGGTTTCCTTTCTCTTAAATAAATATGTACACACACACACGCACACACACACACATATATACTGGTACCCATTGTACATAATACGGTGTACACTGTAGGGAAATCGAAGAATTAAAAAAAATCAATTTCTATTTTTTTCGTACGATAATACCGCACGGCAAAGGGCTCGTACACTTGTACCTGCACAAATATTATGTATAGACGTTGACACGCACTATTGGGTACGCACGTTAAATCCATCGCGGAAATCGTAAACACGCCACTGCAATCTATAGAATACAGGTTATATTGGCGAGAGACAGAGAGAGAGAGAGAGAAAATAATTACATTTTTGTTTGTGTTCATAAATTTTTGTTTTAATACCATAGTCGTATTGGGGAATTCGACCCGCTATATCCGCGCGATAAGGGTTTAAATATGTTCGGATTTCACGACGCGCACACGCGTGTACAGCCGTTTAACGATGTTTAGCGATTCAATATACTTACTGCGGCGAGTAATTAGTATTAAAATTAATTTCGGTTTTGACATTTCGAAGCGACGGCTTTTTAGATTTCGTACGGATGACGTGTACGGTATTACGCGGGGGGGGGGGGGGATTCAGTGACGCGCGCCGCCGTTGTTTATTTCAAAAATTTGTTTCGATTTATTTTAAATTATAACGAACGCTGCAATCGACAACTGTTATAATACCATCGGAATTCGACAGGCGTTTCATTCAAATATCGGAGCAAAAGCAAATAGGTACGCCGCTTAAAAAACTAAACCGAAATACAAATTACGCAATGATAAACCGTTGCTAACGAACAACAGGCCCCGGGCGAAGTTCAATTAAGCTTGTTTTTAAATGCTTCTGTTTTTACGGTTTTCCATACAAATTTGATATTGTAACGTTTAAATATAGATTACTACTTGACGCTTAACTAACTTTCACATTCGACGACCAAGTACGAAATATTATGATGAACTTCTGGTTAGATTTTCAAACGTTTCGGTTCGTCCGAAACAATTTTATCTAGATAAAAAATAATAATAATAAAAAAAAACTCAAAACCTATAATAAATCAAATAATACATATTTCAATAATTATTTCTCACTAAATAACCACCGAGAAACCGAATCTGCGTACATTTTCCATTTTTATTTTCGTCGAAATTATTAAAGAAAAGAATTTCAAGGCGCGTACATAAGCGGTTCAATACACCAGCCAGATGACATTTACAACACTTGATAACCGGAGAAAAATTTCTGGTATAAAGGTTGATCGGCTAGAGGACAAACGCATATAAATACACACATCATTGTAAAACCAGTACACTCCTCGCGGCACTAGAAATCCAAGAAAACAACGTGTTGCCGGAAAAAGGCGTATATTTGTAAATAAATAAGACGGTCAGTGTATTATGTTCAACGTTCGCGCGATGAAAAATCCGAATGAATAGTATCTGAAATGTATGAAATACTTTTTTCATATATATATAATACACAATGTCATTCTAGTAACTCATAATTTAGCGTTGTGCACTTTTTTCTCGTTTTAAACGTGCGTTTAACTGTGACAAATCTGTATGTTTTCAACATTTATTACAATTATTTTTTAATTAAGAGCAATTTTATTATCTTCGCCCTTCAAAACATATTATTCATAGTATATTAATTCGATTTAACATTCAACATTATGAAACAGCGGGATAAAAAGCTTCGCAGCCCTGTTTAAAACATATTGATACAATTAAAAATAATTTTATTTATCACGAATAATCACGTTTGGTTACGGTTTTTAATATCAATTATCATTTTAATTCGAAAAATTACACGACCGTTTCGAAGAGGAAAACTACGATAGTCGTTCAATCGTTTCTACACGCACGTGTAACTGTTTTGCATAAACTACGCGCCGTCTTAGAAAACATTATCAATATTATTATACTCTGAGGTGCAGGAACTTTTTTTTACAAGAGGGAGGCAAAAATATGGATGGTATGACTATCCACGGTTACACCGTTTATATTTTCCCATTCCGTTTCCCGATCAGATACGGTTTGATTCCCCTATCTGTGAATTGTTTTCCATTACTCTTCAACCAGTGCTCAATATGGAAAACGTAGTGAACTTTAATACATCGTTTTTTTCGTAAAACAATTACATAATATATATATAGAATGTTTATACGATTTCCGACAGCAATGGTTTTTTTTTTTTTTATATTAGGAGTTTAGAGAGGAATTTATTGGTTTTACTATGTGTGTTATTATTATTATTTTTTTCGTGTCAGTCAACAATTATTCTACCAGAAAAATTGTTCCGATGTATAGGGTGTAGAAACCTTTTTTGAAATATAATTTTGTCTAGTTGATACATTGAACAGGCGATTTTTGATTTTCTAAAAGTTTTTCAAAATAATTATGAAAAACCTGAAAGACAATTACAAGTAGAACGGAAAATATTTACGGCTCGTCGCGATGTTACTGTATTCATTATTTTAAGTTTGTATTTATGGTGCTTTCTACCAAAAACATTGCCCCAATTGAAAAACAACAAGTGATCGATTTTATTTCTTTTAATATATCGACATTGAAAAAGGGTCATTCAGTGTTATTTTTTAATATCTAAAGTATTTTCATAAAAATTGGAAAACACCAAAAAAGGTGATTTTTATAAAAACGATTTCTTCAAATTAATTTTCGTTGAGCCGGATGAATTCATTATTTCAAATTTTTAAAGTTACATTTCTCCACTTAAAATATTTGCCAAAATTTCAAGAATTGCATATTTTCTGAAAGGAAAATCGGCTTTTTTTGTGAATAAGAACATCGTTACTTGATTTTCTTTAATATACTATTTCCAATAATTACGAAAAATGTAAGAAATACGGCAAAATGTACGGAAGTTAGGTTTTTTGGTTAAAAACTATTTTAATTATTTGCAGTATACACAAACTACTTAAATTGGCTTTTTATAGATGTGGTAAAGTATTTTCAAAACATTCCAGTTACTATAAGGTATTTGATATTTTGGTGCTATAATATGAAATTTTATTTATTAATTATCCGTTATTAAAATTATATGACAAAAGAGAATACTTGAAAATTTAACACAAGGTGTATAAGTTGTACTTAGTGGTCTAAAAAGTAAGTTTGAGTTTAACTAATAACTTTGCTTTAAATCTTTGTTTGTTAGCAATAGTTTATCTTTGCTTACAGGTATAAATTAAATAACTTTAGCCATCTTGCCTTCCCGACTTACCTCCCACAACAGTGAATGCACCCAGCATCAGTTTTTTTTTTTTTTTTTGTAAATTATTAACTATCATTTATTACCGTTCGTTTTGATTACGTCTTCGGGTACAAACACAATTATAATGTAAACAAAAATACATTGCATTTCTGTAGATATGATGAAAGTGATGTCAAAGATTATCGTCTATCCGATAGCCCGTATTCTGTGTAGTGAATAGTGATTTTACAGAATTATAATCAATTTTGTCGAGTCTTTTTGAATCTATACTATCAGTTTCGTTATATGATAATGAAATAGTATAGTTGAAAGTTTTGATGTTACATATTTTTATTCATAAGTGATTAATTAATAATATTTTATATGTACATGTAATATATAATATATATTATATGGAAAAACAAATGAATATCGACTGAATTATTAGCATAAGGATGACACTGTAGGACACCTTGTATATAATTACACTTAATCCTACGTCACAGACTATATTAACTGAAAACGGTATGCTCGTATATTCTATAGTGCGAAATATTTTGGTTTTTCTTTTTTTACCTAGGTATTTATGACTTTTTTGTAAAAAAAAAAAAACACGCTCTACGTCGTAAAATCTGAGCTCTTTGTGAACTAGCACGATCCAACTCTATTTAGGGGTACGTATATAACTCGTTCTTGTACAAACAATTGCGGGTGAATGAAAAATCGATTTCCACCCTGCTGGGTATATGTATGAAATGAGTACGGTAGGCAGGCGAGTGCCTGATGTTATACGACTTGTTTATGGTTTTCGGTGGTCGCGGTAGTTTGGCGCCGAGTCGGTCCACCGGGCGCCCGTAAAGTTGGCCGCCAGCTTTTCTCGGACGTGTACTACAGGTAGAGGAACGTGTTTAACGCGAAAAATACCTTTTATTAACGACCCGCTCGCGGCATTACACAGCCGAGACACCGTCAACCCACTCCGATTTCCAAGGAAAGGTAATTTTAGACGTTTACGACCGGCCCCGTCGTAAAATATCTAAAAGATCCGTAGGAATTTAAACACAAATAGCCCTAAAATTTCGGGTGAGCGGCACGGCTAAGCACCTCCCGCATCATCCCCGCGTGACATTCATTAAATACTTATTGTGTATACCTACTCAATTAGTGCACTTGTACCTTAGACATGGCTGAATCTCGGTCGCATTAAAGCCCACAAGACTCTCCCTCTCTTTTATTTGCTCTAATGATGATCGGCAGTCATATAACCAAGATTATTTTTAAAGGTAGACGATTTAATTTTAAATATTTAAGTACAACTCTTGTGTGGAGGGCACGCTTGAATGCGGTTCAAGTTGTGCACGCGCACAAAACCTCGCGTTTTGTCACAAATATAGTTCACGATTTCAGATAATTATTTAAAAGAATATAAATTAAAAGTTGTAACGGAAAATTTTAATGATTCACCTAGAAGCCAGAATAGCGAAAAACATTAAGCGGGAGGGGAAAGTTCAAATTAGAAAATTGGGGTCACACAAAATAGACGGCCAAGAACTCGATATTTCCCAAGCCAGCCTTTGTTGTGTGGAAGGGATATGAAGGGTTCCTACATCCTCCACGGAGTCATTGATCATAATAATTTAGTCATCAGACAATCGATAACCATTATCAAGTATTTGACAAACTATATGTATTATATTATATCATAATATCTTCAATATCCGATAATAGATAATATAGATAATAATATGTATTACCAAATACGAAATTGTCTAACTCAGTAGTAGTCCGCGAGAGGTCCATACATGCGAAATTGAAAAAAACAAATAAATAACGTAAAGCGATTGTGGTGTTCAGTGTTTAATACGTCACTTTTACACTTTTACACTTATCGTGTGTATGTCACTTTTATTATTACTACCCGTAAAATAAAAAACTAAGTACAACAAAAAAAAAAAAAAAAAAAATAAAATAATTATAGTAATAATAAAAATATCATTAGAAAAAATTGGGTTGGTAGTGTAAAGTTAGTAGTTGTAATTATCAAGACCTTGATGTATTTACCTATTATAATATACTGTGCACTTAAATACAACCGAGGAGGTCATTGAAAACCCAATATACACACCCTTACCCAATTTTGGATTAACTTATAAAAATATTCAGGTAAACATGTTTTCTAACCTTAAAAGTTGCATGCAGTTACCCCGTTTCATCTTGTTATTTCTTGAAAGTGTCCTCGTTGACGGCTCGTTACGTTCAACCGATAGTCTATGTCCCATGCATCCTTTGACCGTAAATTATAGGCACCTAAAAAAACCAAATGCAATTCCCGATGGCTTTATTAAAAGCGCCCGCGTACAGCAGCTCACGATGGCTTATTGCCAGCTCGTCGAGCATAATTTTACAGCTTAACAGAACGACTAAATCATACTCCGTGGTGGTATTAGACTCGTTAAATAATTTATTCTGGTTATTCACTTACCAAACCTGACCAGACTTGTCAAATTTTTGCGGTATACTGGGAATTCCGGTATCTTCTAACACGGCCCGACCCTGAGGCTACGAGTTCGATGATTGGATATTTACCTACCGCGATATTTGGAATTTAACTATCAAGATGAAAGATATCGAATTAGACAATTTTTTTTTTTTTTTATAATTAACACGCAGTTCAAAATTTCAAAATCGTTACCGACGAAAATACGATTTTTGTGAGAGTTATTGTAGCAAATTGACGTTTTGTGACGGTTGTTTAAATTTAAATAGAACGCAAAAAAAAAAAAAAAACAAAACAGAACAAAACGTTCATTAATACTCGGCTGTTGTTATTATCGTAATAATATTATACTTTGTACGGGTTTTTTTCGCGAACATATTTTCATAATTGTTTTTTTCGTAATCACGAATAAGACGATATTATACGATTATTGTAGTATTATATTCGTTTGCGACGAAGACGATATTAATTATTGTAATATTCACCGTTAGTAATTTATCGTACAGACATTTGAATAAATTTTAATATATTTTTATTGCAGTAATGTAATTACTTATGTAAATAATAATAATAATAATAATAAAAAAAAAAAAAATTACACGAACAAAACAATGAGTTTTTCTTCTCGGTAAACGAGCCAGCGGTGGCGGTCGAAACGCGCCTTCTATAATACGGCTCATTATTATTATTATTATTACGTGAATATATTAGCCAAATCAAACCTCTGTAAACAATATTTACACTACGACAATGGCAATATCATAATTTTTTATCTTATTTCGATTTTCCGTTTCGAATATTATACTTGTGTATACTATCGGCAGAGCGGCGCATTGGCGTATATGCGACGCACGGTGAGCGAGTCCGGTTTAAGGGTAGTCTGACGGTTCGTAGTCAAAAGGCTCCAAGGAGCTACACATTTTCTCATAGTATGTCATGTCCTTCATCTCTATGTATTGAATCATTAACTGTGTATTTGTTGATATTTTATTGTTCGCAATCACTTTTCGTCTACGACCTTTAGTGGAAACTACTAGATCTTTAACACTATGTACCCATTGTTTCGTATTGGTAAATCATATTAAGTAATAAGTTTAAACGAATATTTTTTTGATTTTTTTTTTGAGGGCCTCGTTGAAAAGTTTGACTCTTGGGCCTCTAAATATCTTAATCCGGAATTGAAGGCGGGTGGACTTGTCAACAAAACGCTCTTCTTATGTTTCGATAATTATATTAATTTAACTGCGAAATATCGGTAATTTGTAATACCGTTTGCGGTTGCCATCATTGCCATATTATAATAATATTATTATACTGATCTACAATTTATCTAAATATCCGGATTTATAAATCTGTATGTTTGACGTTTTTTTATTTTTAATTTTTGGTTTCCGACCTAAAGGTTAGTTTTATATTTTATATTTTTTTTTTTTTTTGCATTTTCCTTCAAATCTTTTCCATTACTGGTAAGTATCTTAGGGCCTCTATAGTTCGTTATATCTAATTAACTAAACTTAACAACATTGGTAGGTAATGGAATTGAAAAATATTTTTGTTTTTCCAACTTGAAAACTGTTTCACGATGGATATAAGTATTGAAAAACGAACACCAAAATTTGCACAAATCGCGTGAATTTAAGATACGTATACGATGGCAGATGTTTTTTCTTTTGATCAATCCAAAAAAATAAGAGTGTAGATGAAGTAGGTCTGGAACTAATCAATGACAAAGGTTTTTTTAATTTAATTTTATCATAATAATACACAGTGGCATCCTAAAATTAGGAATGTTAAAATGTTTTAAATAACATAACTTTGTGTCATAAAATTAAAATCACTTAAAAGATAATTGTACAGCTTAAGTCCCAGGTGATTGTTTGTATTGGTTATAATATAAAACTTAGAAGACTTTATAATGGTCTATTTGAACGATGAACCTAGGTCTATACTTTAGTTTAATCCTGTCCTGAACACACCACTTACTCGGCGATAAGATGAGATAATCTCTGTATAGTTTTTTCGATTAATATTTTATTTTAGGTGTCTTCACTTAAATATACTTGAAAATTAATGTTAAAACCTAATACTTTCTACCTTAAACGGTAAAATTATTTTTCGATTCGTGCAGACAAATAATCTTGAAGGCGCGTGCAGAGATGCTTTTCAATATCTATTATTTTTGTTAGATTTTTTTTATTTTAATTTTTCTACATTGTGTAAGTCAGGCTTGTGTTGATGGTAGAGTTGAAATCTACATATTATAAAAAACGTAGTGTTAAAGAATGAAACAAAAAAATACTTTAACATATTTGACGTGTAAAAATAACAGATGTTTAAACTTCCATATAATTTTTTCTAAAGATATAAATATCCAGGTAATAAAAGACATGTTTGCAATGAAATATTTACAGATTATATTCTTTTAAGTTATATCAGTCATAAAACAAAAATAAGTGGGACCTTGATAGTCCACGAATTTTTGACCAAAATATTTTCTATTAAATAAATTACTTCAGAATCATATGCTAGGGTTTTTATTTTATTTACCGACGCATTTAAATTTATTCAATTATTTGGATTTCTTATTACCCATGAGACGGCTTTTTTTTTTGGAAAGTTAAATCTACTGAAAATACATTAAAAAATGTATATTTCGGCTGGTCGAATTTTTAAGAGAAGATTGATGTAAACATAATAATATAATGTTTCTTTGGTGAATTAATAAATGTTTCAGAGCAGAGTTAGATTACATTGTGAACGCAGTCCAGGAAATATTAATTCTACCGACACAGTGAACCCGTTTCAGTTTATCACTTTCTTTTGCCAGATAGTTTGCCTTGAAAGCATACTCGCTGACGGACTCATTACTGCCAATCAATAGTTTAGCTACGCTCTTCGTACTGCAGTTTCTGACGGTTCATTAGAAGCCCCTCAAGCACTAGTTTACAGTTTAATATAATATCTAAATTATATATTGTATTGTATAAGATCCGATAAGTAGTCTTATTCCAGTCATTCGCTTATCCCGTCTGACTTTGCCAGATTATCAGAAAACTCATTTTTATCGAGTCCTACCCGTAGATTTCCCGGTGTCCCGGTGGAATAGCCACTAACCCTGTTTCAGAACATAAACCTATAAAATGTTATTGTATCTTTCACCAGATTTTTAATGGGAATTGTGGTCCATTTATTTGAGCCAAAAAAGAAACGGCATTTAATAAAATGTGTCATTCTTTGATAATTAGTGACGGTATCTATATCATATATTACGTGCTTTTTGTTTTACCCGAAAATGAAATATTTCACCGAGTATCGGAGATCTCCTATTGTATTTCAGCATTATTAATAGTGTTAAATTTTCGATTTCGCCGTATAACTTAATAGTTTAATTATTTTTCTTTTAAGTTAATACTTTTTAAATTTTCCTAGAAACGTTGGAAAGTTTATAATGGCTCTATCATTTTTTCGCACAGTCACTTTTAATTTTTAATGTATTTCCGAGAAACTAGTAGGGCGATTGCTCGCCCGTAATAGCCTCTCTACTCTCTTGGCGCCTATACGAATTATATTATCAAGTTGTATTTTTATTTTTATTTCAAACAAATATTTTAGAATATGAAAAATTAATATACCCATTACATTTGCCTACGTTTGTTTTAGTTTTAATATTTATGTATTCATTCGTTATACCTATTCCTATGTACGTTTATGAATTTTCAAATGTTTAGTAAAACTTTTCGTGTTTTTTATTTACATAGAAAAAAAATTAATGTGTTTTTTCGAGAATTTGTTTTCGGGTTAGTCAAAATAATTATTTTTCCAAACTTTTAAATTATTTATATATTTAGGTAATTGTACGGTTTAACTTTTGTTGTGTTATAATAACTATTTAGTTTTTTGCCTAATAGCATAAGTGTATAAAATATGTGTAATATATAAGGACATGCACTACTAAAAAAACAATTCAGTTCAATTATATTAGGCTTGTAAAATCTAATCTAAAATAATTGTATTATTGTTACGTAGGTTTATTTTGATTTGACTAGACGTTTTAAACAATTTTTTTTTTTTTTTTTGGTATAAAGCTTTCAACAAGAAGTAATTACAACTTTTCGATAATTAAGCGAAGTGCATTAAGGTTAAGGTATACGCGCGAGGGCGAAAACGCAAAATAAATAATTAAAGTAATAATAATAAAAAAATAATAACATAAAAACATTTAAGTA